CACGGGGAGAGTGTGGGGTTCTATCATATTATTATACATCTGCCAATGTAACACCATAGGTTACAGCGTGCCGTAATTTTGCAGTATTTTAAAGGGTATTTTCATCTTACCATATAAGGAAATGCGAATTCCAAATATGGAATGATTACGCACGTAAGCGTCCTCTAATAATGAAAACAAACATGGCTGCCACTAGGGTTTGACCGGACTCCAGTCAAAGAAGTTCGCTGATTCTGTTTAAACTTTTTGGATTTCGGCATTCCCATGATGTATAATTGGAAAAAAAGGATGTATAATTATAAGGTTATTTTGAGGATACCTCAAAGTATGCACTCAGACAGTACGTCGTCTCATCGACCTCCACTGTGTGTCGGTCGATACTTTCACTGTACTGTCTTTGTGCATACTTTGAGGTATCCTCGTAATAACCTCATATTAACACTCTAAATGTTTACAAATTTGCTGAAAAAAAACAAATATGCACTCTATTAAAAGCACATGCGTTTTAAAATATAAACTTGTAGAGAATAAACTTGTTGAATGATATATGTATGTTATAATGAACTCACCTGATGTTGCTTGCATTTGATAACTGGTCCTAATATGGTTATAATCGATATCAGAGAAGTCATCACACCTACAGTTTTCCTCTGTGATTCCTAAATAACATTGAAGTGTTTCAAATAAGTGTTGCATGCACATAATATGGTAGTAATAATTGAATGGAAATTGAATAGTTTATGGTAATGTTAACTCCATACACGACTCGCACAAAGATATTCAACTGTGTTGTTTTTTTCTTCTTCAAGTCATAAACTAAGTCCTAAAATAAAATCAGATGTATCTAAGACAGATCTCTCATGATTTTTTTTTTCATATTAGATATACAGATTACTGGCAGATATACAATTTGTAAATTTGATCAAAATTTCACAAATTCTTTTTGTTTGTCGCAGCATGTACGCAAAGAATCCATTTTTGTATGAAACCACACTTTAAATTGAACATTTAACATACACTAAACATCTCTTGGTATTAGTTGCTGATAAAATAATCACTGCATACAGTAAATAAATCACTTACATTGTTGAACATATCCCATATCAAGTGTAGGAATTGAGGGTATTTATACAATGTCAATGCTATAAACCATTCAATGAGGTTTTTAATTGAAAGTTGACTGTCAGTCTGTAATGATTTCATGGCTTCTGTCAACATATATTCACTGGCATCCTGTAGAAATGTAAATATAGCAAACAAGTTGAACAAAATGTACACATGCAGTAACTTGAAATACAAAAATAGGCCAATGGCCTGTTGCTCAACAGCTATTGTACAAAAGATTAGTGCTGTATATGACATATACCCCAAAAGACAGTGAGTGAGACAATAAAACATAATGCTAAAAGTGGAATTTTTTACAAAAATAACAGAAATATTCAATAAAATTAGAATCAAAGAGAGCTTAAAAAGAACTCCAGCGTGTTGAGAGAATAACATAACATATTTGCAATTATCTGAATTCGTAATACATGTATATACCAAGTTTTGTTGAAATATGTTGAATGGTTTTTGAAATAGCACCCAAATAGCTTGAATTTCACGAGCTGATATGCAAATTAGATA